GCGGGCGGCGCCGCCGCTGCTGAGTCACGGGCATGCTGGGGATGGCGCGGCGGCCGCGGGCGAGCGGGGGACGCAGATGCGGCGGCGGACGGCTCTGACTCGCGACGGGCCTCGACCAACGTCGGCTCACGAAGCCGAAGTCCCCTAGCGTCGTGTCCCTGCCCCAGCTGCCACTCCAGGGCCTGGGCTTCCTCGCGTTCCTTTTACCGCGATCTGGATGATGCCGGAGTGTGGGGGACAAGCTTCAGTTGTCCCTGACCCCCGTCCCCAGGGTCGTGCCCCTCTGTCACCTCGTCCGTCCCTTTTTGCCAACCAGACTCGATGTCTGCTAGGACAGCGCTTCGCACCCGCGCTTCTGTGCCCTCCGATGGCTGTCACCGACATCCTGGTCTCAGCGCCCCTGAGGGCTTCCTGGCTGGGCCGTGGTTTGAACTCGTGAAAGTTTGTAAGTGGGAATCGGGTTGGATGATAGCTTAAGATGTAGATGAAGGGTCCGTTTTTCTTTTAAAAACGAGACCAGTTGGTCATGTGGGCGTTAAGGAAGGAGTCAGGTAAGGAAGCGCCTCACAGGACTCTTGGTTAACTCGTTGTTTGAGGGTGTGCTTCGCCACCCCCTGCGTGTTTTGGAATTGTTCCTCCTGCTAGACCTGTCGGACATGCTCATAAGTTCGCAGGATTATAACTTGAATTGGCAACTGCGAAGACCCAGTCGCACATCTGCTGTAAAGTCATAGTTGCTAAGTGTACCTTCCCCTGCTGCTTGCTTTGTAGAAATCACTCAACCAAAGCCAAAAAAAGACCCTCGGCCTATGAGAATGTGTGGGCTTTCTTACAAAAGTAATTGCTGTTGTTTTGGTTTCTTTTCCCCCATGGGATACTAGAGGCCCGAAGGGGCAGGCACCGTTGCAGTTCTGTTCAAGCACTTGTTAAGAGCACTTGCTGCTGTGTCAGATCACTGTAGGGTTTTAAAAAACACAAGTGGACTGTAGATCAAAAGAAAGCCCACAAGTGTGGAAGTTTCCTTTGAGGTATGGACACTCAATTCTTGAAGTGTTTGAAACTCATTTCCAAAAAGGAATCAGAGCCACCAGGAATACAGAATCACAAAATTGCTTGCTCCAAACCCCAAATGTAGTGAGCATTTGCCTTTTATATGTTAAGAAAAAGGTTACTCAATTTGGGGGGCAGTGGTGGGCGGATGACTTGAGGCAGGGAGTTGGAGACCAGCCTGGGCAACATAGCAAGACTCCTGTCTCTAAAATAAATTTTTATATTAACCAGACAGGGTAGCTTGTGCTTGTAGACCCAGCTACACAGGAGGCTGAGGCAGGAGGATTGCTTGAGCCCGGGAGTTTGAGGCGTCAGTGAGCTATGATTGTGCTGCTGTCCGCCAGACTGAGTGACAGCAAGACCCTGTCTCTAATTAAAGATTACAGTAAACCAGTGTGAATCTAGGAGCTGCTAAGGAAATGTAGTTTATTTCACAGTGACTTTTGTCTTTCTTTAGCATAGAGTTGTATTGTTTCTGTTTCTCATATTTGCTAGTGGTTAAAAAGGATTCTTAAGACCAATGAAATGAGAAGACTGGATTTTTTGTTTGTTTGTTTGGTTTTTTTTTGAGTTGGAGTCTCACTCTGTCACCCAGACTGGAGTGCAGTGGCCGCTCCCGGCCACCGCAGCCTCGACCTG